CTCTGTCAAATAAATAAATAAAATCTTAAAAAAAAAAAGATTTTTAAAATTTATTTGAGACAGTGAGGGAGTGAGATTGAGAGAGAGAGAGAGAGAGAGTGAGAGACAGCAAGCGAGCACAAGCAGGGGGAGCGGCAGGCAGAGGGAAAGGGAGAAGCAGGCTCCCCACTGAGCAGGGACTCGATGCGGAACTCGATCCCAGGACTCTGGGATCATGACCTGAGCCGAAGGCAGACGCTTAACCAACTGAGCCACCCAGGTGCCCCTCTATTCTATGTTCTTAAAAGTTCTCTCAATTGTTCATGAATAGCCTTATCTTGTTCCATGTCTTCACTTTCAAGTCTTAAATCTTTCTCTCACCTCAACTGCTGTTTCTAATCATCAAGTAAGGGCACAATTTCTTAACAACATACTGTATATATTCTATATTCTGCTCTCCCACTCCTCAAACTCTCTGCAACTCATTATGTCTGTTCTGTTTTTCTGAGCACTCCATGAGCTTCCTTATCTCCATACTTCTGCTTATATTGATTTGAAATGTTGTCCTCTCTCCTTGCAGAAATTCTATTCATTCTTCAAGAATGAGCTCAAATGTTGTACCTGCTATGAATATTTCCCCAATTACTCCAATCAGATTTAATGGTATATTCTCTGTGTTCCAAAGTACTTTGCTGACAAGGAAAACATATCACTTATCACATGAGAAAATTATTTGTCTTCATCTCTGTTTCAGCTCATGGGTGTCAGCACAATGGAGACAAGAAGAGAATTTTATTTATCTCTACACACCTTGAAGCAATAAGCATGGCCCTTGACTAAATGTTTGTTGAATGGAAGGATGGATGGATGGATGAATAGTGATTCAGTTACTACTCCAATTTTTCAACATGCCTCAAGGGGGGCATGATCTGATTTCAGGCTGTTTTCCCCTCATTTTAAATCTCCATTATTATCCTGAGCATTTGTCTTGCCTGCTTTGTGAAATTTTGGGTTTTAAATTAAAAAAAAAAATGACCTGCTGTATGAAGTCATGGAAAAGGAGAGGGAATAATAGATCATTTTTCTTGTAAAAGTAAATATACTTCTGTCATCCAGGTGATCAATGTTGCAAATAAGCATCCAAAAAAATTAAAAAATTATATTTGTAAGTTTAAAAAGTAAGGTGATAGGAATTTTTTTTTTATTCTTATGTTAATCCCCATACATTACATCATTAGTTCTAGATGAAGTGTTCCATGATTCAT